CTGCTCAGTCACCACTTGCCTTAATATTTTCTCGCTCATAAATATATCCATGCACCCGATGCCTCTGTCACCATCTCAACTGGCTAAACCTGGATTTGGCTTTTAATCATTCATTTTGCTTCTGAGCAGGTAAACACTGCTCCAGTTCACTCTCATCACGACCTGTGTGGAGGAAGGAAGTGAATTTTCCTCTTCCCACTCACCATGGCTGGTCACCTGTTGGTCACCTTTCTCCTGGCCTCATCAGTGCCAAGCAAGGGTGGGAGGTGAATCTCAGACTGCTGGGTGGAGACAGCCCAGCTTGTGCCATCTTGCAGCTCAACGCAAGGCCCTCTCATTATGTCTTCACCTCTTCCTGTGACAGACTCCAGCTCTGCCATGCAGAAGACCCACTGGAGGACTCCCTGGCTTGGAGGTGAGGAACGGGCCGGCAATCAATGAGAATAGCGTTGAGAGGACTTGATCTGTAGTGATAATTACAGATTTGCCAGCAGCTGTGGCTTAGCAGCAACTTCGCCATCTCCGGCGCTGCCTGAGACCCAGAGCAGCCAGGCAGGAAGACGGAGGAAGAGTGAGCTGTAAAGAAGAAACAGGAGACAGAAAACACCAGGAGGCAGAGCCAGGGAAGGAGGCTCAGGCTTGATCTGACCATGACCTGCTCAGTAAATATCTCGTTTAACATCAGACTACAGTTTTTAGCAGATGTAAACATCCACGGCCCTCAGCAAAATGCGCTGCTCCTCTAGGTAGTTGAAAACCAGATAAGGGCCACGCTCTCTCCAAGTGGATAGAACACAGATGTTAAAAAGAAGAGATAAGCGCTGGGGATTTAGCTCAGTAGTGCCACCACCTGCCTTGCAAAGTGCAAGGTCCTGAGTTCAATCCCTGGTACCAAAAACACAAGGCCTTGTTGCCCTGCGTCTGCCTGCACCCAGGTGAAGAGCATCTGTGCCTTGTTGTGTCCCACTAGCCTGCTTATTCCTCCACTGTTCATCACAGCTACCAACTCTTGACCCTAGCCCAGTTCCCTAGAGGGTGCCTAGGTGATCACCCTGGTAAGTAGAGGGAGTTAGAGACAGAGAAGGGGCAGCCCTGGCACTTGTTCTAAAGAAGCCATCTGTTCTCCTCCTAGACAACCAACCAGCTTGCTTGCTTTTCCTTATAATGAGACAGTCTCACTCTGTATTCCAGGCTGACCTTGAACTCGCAATCCCCCTGTCTCAGCCTCCTGAGTGCTAGGATTATAGGCATGTGCTACCACCGACCCAAGTAGTTTTGTTTTGTTTTGTTTTGGTACCGGGGATCGAACTTAGGACCTTGTGCTTTTGAGGCAGACGGTGGCACCACTGAGCTAAATCCCCGGCCCAATAAATACTATTTTCATAATTTTACATTTACAGAATAATCATGACTTGAGTCCAGAGTTTCCATCACTCCCTTACCCTCTTTCCCCTTATTAACATCCAGCATTAGCATGGTTCTGTTGTAAACAGCTAAATTAGGTAGAAATATTGTAGGCCTAGGCCCTCAAAGGAGTCAGTACAGAAGATGAAGACACATCCAAACCAACCATGGCCGGAGGCACATCTGAAGACTGAAGTCACAATGGCCAGATCTACATACTTCCCTAAGCGATAAATGGAAGTTGAAGATTATTGGTACCACCCTTTTGAGATTTCCCCCACATAAATAAATCATCATCTCCTTAGGGGTGGGCCATCCTCCCTCACCCACTAAGACTAAGACTACTAAACTGAGATCCCTAAAACCAAGACTAAAGACAAGACTAAAACTACAGATTATCAACCAAGGTTAGCGATGTCACTGATACGTCCTTGCTACTATTGGATCAATATTAGCCAAACAGCTATACTTATAATCTTATTGTTTGATTATAGTTTTGACCCATGTTGTACTCACCTCATGATTTTTCTCCATAAAACGTTTTCGGAGGGTCAGGGATTTAGCTCAGCGTTTCAGTGGCCTGCCCTGCAAGTGCAAGGACCTGAGTTCAATCCCCGGTTAAAAAAAAAAAAACAACTTTCTCAGAGAAGTAGGCTCATTGGCAATCCGCTTTCAGGCCCACTCCTCTCTCTCAGGAGCTAATTGTCTTCGTAAATTTTGCTACTCTTAACCACACTGCTCCTTAGAATTCATACTTTGATTTTGGGGAACACAAACTCAGGGTATCATTTGGAGTTACTTTTTCCACCCTATATCAGTTCCTTTGTGACAATCGATGAACCAGGATGCCACCCCTGTCCCTGAGGGGAGGTCAGACAGGAGGCATCACAGCTGCAGTGGGAGCAGAAGGATTCAAGGCCATGGTGAGCTGCCAGGAGCAGGCGATGTAAGAGGCTGGAGAGGTCAGGAGGGAGCGGAGGGGCCCAGGTCCCAGGGATGGGGCAGACAGGGGCTCTCTGGAGCTCCCCCTTGGTTACCATCCCACGTACCATGGCCTCCGCCTCAGCCATCCCTGCCAGGCGGGCGCAGTGGCAGCCTTCATCCACCAACGTCTTTACCACTCTGTGGTGCTTTCCAGCGCAAGCAGGGGCAGCCTGAACGCTTCCCAGGGCTGGGTTCAGGGCTACGGGGAGAGTCGGCACCTGGGTACCACAGCAGCTGAGCAGGATTTCTCCTTGATCTGTCCATCTGCACCTGGCCATCCAGGCCTCCCCTTGGCTGTGGCTTCCCAGACTCCCTCTCACGAATCACCTGTAGGCCTAATTGCATTTCCCTCTGTGGGCAGCTGCCGCCTCTGCCCAGGGTAGATTCCCCTCCTGGGGTGAATATTCAGGGCAGTTTCTGGCATCTTCCAAGTCTGGGTGGCCCAGTTTGTCCCCCAGATCTCTCTGAGGGTCGGGCAGCTGCCAATGGCACCTCTGGAGCTGAGGTGGCCGCCTGGCATGGCCGTCTTCCTCCTGCACTCTTAGGGTACCTTGCCCCGTGTCCTGACTGCTTCCCACCAGGACTGTGAAAGCAGGGATTGTTTTTCCATTTAGGCGCACACAGACCCAAGTCCCACAAAGGGTCAGGTCACCCTATCATATGTTTTCATGGTCTCACAAATCATGCCTCCAAGGTCTTAGGACATATGAAATTTTGTCTTTTAGGGTCAGGTTACCGGAGTTCTGTCACCCTCCAGACTGTAAGTCCCACGACCACAGGGACTTGGGACTAGATTAGATACTCCATGAATCTTGTTCAATTACTGAGCGGCTGGATCAGTTATAGACAGAACATTCATGCAGTCCTTCACTCAACAATGGACAGGGTAGCAAGCCCTGTGATGGGTCCTGGGGACGAAAGGTAAGATCTAGACCCCAGAACTCAGGCTTGTGGGCAAGATAGCTTGGTAAATAAAATGCCCCAACGGAGCAGCATCCCAACTGCTGCAAGGGAACAGAGGCCAATAGCCTTCCCGTGAGGGGCAATGGCAGATGGACGGGCGAGGACGAGGGCTCAGCAGGCGGGGAGCAGCCCAAGCCAGCAGGACTTGAATCCCTTCACCGCCCTGGGGCCAGAGTTCCCACGTGTGCCCCTCGGACCCCTCCTGGGTCTGATCCTGGGTACAGGGACTGCCGACCGACTTGTCATTCCCTCTGGCTAACAGGCTGCCAGATACCTCTGCCACGAGAGACTTCCACATCTGAGCCAATCTGAAACCATCTTAAGAGATTTCTTGAGCCCAAAGCTACAGTGGAATCTATCCAGTCTGCACACTGCACTCCCATCTTGTAATTCTGCCTGACACATCATCAAGTTCCTGGGTCGCAGCTGTCAGCAGGCAATTTCACGCAGCCTTCCTGAGCTGCTTGTCCCAGGCACCCCTCCTTTTCGATCAGGATTTAGCATAATCTCTAACTTTCAGCCCTAGATATGCTTACCTTTTCTGTTGGTTGTTGTTTAGGAGGAAGATGTGCAAATGCACAGAGATCCACAAAGGGAGGGGAGCCTGGGCTCCTGGGGGCCCGTGTGGGCTTCAGGATTCACCAGAGGTGCAAAGGAAATAAAGATGATTATAAGTCGATACTGGAGAGGGCTTAAATAAGATCTGTGTGGGTAGGAGGGGGCATTATAGTGACAATTTAGGGACTCCAGGGCTGGAGTAATTGAGTCTGCGATGGAGAAGGGTCACATATCACAGGGACAAATGTCACTGAAGAGCTGTACAACATTTGGAGCAATTTTGAAAGAAGAACCTAGATTTGACTTAAAAAATCACCACCTACACATACAACATCCCCACCCACAGAGGACTCCGGGATCCCTCCCTGGCTTTTTTTTTTTTTTTTTTACTTCAATTTTATTCTTACTTGTATCTTTACAGAAAATGGCACAGAAATCACAGGTTTTAGAATGCCTAGAAGTTATTACAGTTCCATATTTCAAACACCTCAATATCAAGTCTCTTCTCACTCTTTGTACATTATTTACACACCAGGTCTACAGTCTAACATTTCAAACCAACAGAAGACAAAGACAAGGACTGGAAAGGGGAGAGTTTCATGAATGGAATGAAGAAATCAACTTTTGACACAGAATTAAAGTCGCCACTCACTGGCACAGCCCCGCTCTTGGGATGCAGTCCCTGCAAAGGTGAGTGGGTTGGTAGATGTCAATAGGTGAAGGGGACCAGGTGCCTGGCCTGGGAATGCAAGCCCGGTGGACTCCATGAAATTGTGTGCTCACTATTGATGCAGAAGGTAAATAAAGGCCAGGGTGGGAGGGGCAGCTACAGAGAACCTCAGTATTGACAAATCCACCCACAACCAGAGAGGAGGACCCGATGCTTTATTCCAATATGGCTCCTGGGTCTGTCTCATTCCAGCGGACATCCTGAACTTTCCAACATACACCTGGCTGAAGGTGGGAGTGCCTGCAGTTGGTCTGGGTGTAATACTGGCCTCCTGCCTCGCTTTCCTTTGAGCCTCTTCCTATACCCTCCTTGAGACCCATCTCTGACGAGCATTGATGGCCCAGGCCTACTCCGGGCTTGGTTTCTTAGCCTGGGTTAAGTTGAGGCTGGGTCTGAGGCTTTCTAGCTGCATAAGTTTCTCCAATCAGGGCACAGGCGAACCAGGAGATCGCAAGAAGCTCAAGGGGAAGGGTCCCTTGCAGAGCAAGTCAAGGTCACAGGCAGCATATGGGGAGTTGGAATGTTTCAGAACACAGGCCCAGGGGCCCAGGCTGAGGCTTTTCCTGTTTAGCCTGGACTCCCATGGGGTGGACAGAGGAAGCAGAGGGTGCACATGGGGCCTGCAGAACAGCATATTCACACAGCAGAAGCCCGCGCGGGTCACAGGTGGGAACAGGATGAGGGGAGAAGACTTGCTGAGGACTGGGGAGCTCAGGACACTGGAGCTGGAATGCAGGTCCTCCCTGTGTCACAGCTGCTGCTGGCATGTGTTTGCAGCAACAAGCCTTAGGCATGGGCTAAGCAGAATCCACAGGGGTTCCGAGCTAGGAAGGAGGCCTCTTTAGAGCCAGGGAACAGAGAGGAAGGGGAGGACTTGGACAGCAAGGGTTGCCAAGGGACTGAGCCCCAGGGGCTCACAGGGATGGCTGCGGCAGCAAGGCTTCAGAGGCAGGGATGCCGGGATGAGGAGGAGGAAGCTGCAGCGTCAAGACTGGGTCCAGGATGCCTCGTTATCGTCCAAGAGCACAGCCAGAACTGACCTGTGCCTGGAGTCGGCGGGGGTCATGGAGGGCCTGTGGGGCAGAGGGAGGGTGGCCAAGGCCATGCCTGGCCCCGCCCCAGAGAGAACCTCCCTCCTGGGAGAAGCAGAGTCTTGGGCTCTGGTGTCTGAGTGGCCCTTGGCCACTAAGCCATGTCTTTGGGCTTCGACGGACTCAGCTTCTCAGGCGGCCTGTCTTCGTCCTTGGCCGCCGTCTCTGGCTTCTCGGGATGCCGAGCCTGGCTGTCTGGCCCAGACACAGTCCCCAGCACTTTGGTGCTGTGCTCCTGAGCTTTGGCTCGAAGCGCCGCGATGCTGTTCTCCCTCAGTTCCTCCTGAGAGATGGCTGCCTGCTCATCGGGGCCCTGCTCCTCCTGCTCCATCTTGTCGAGCTTGGGCAGGGCCTGGTGTTCCATCTCGGGCTTCCTCCCCGACTCAGCTGCTGCCTCCAGCGACTTTTTGTGCATCCCTAAAAAGAATTGTTGGTATTCGGGTTTAGAAAAGCGCCTGGGAAAGCCATCTTGAACTGAAAACAGCAAAGATAGAGAGAGGCCAGAATTAAGGACAAGCAGAGAGCCTTACTTCATACCCCAAAGTCACGCAAGTCCCAGGGCTGGGCTGGGGCCAAGGACAGGGAAAATAGCCAAGGGGACAGGGCCGCAGGCCAAAGGCTGGGAATCCCGCCTGCAGAGGATTTAAAATCAAACCCCGGGGTACCCACCCCCCTATAGCCTGTTCTGTCCCTCAGGACACAACCACACCTCTCTGTCCTGGGATTCCAGATCTTCGAACACCAAGATAAGCAGATGCTATTATGAGATAAGGACCCAGATACAAAGAGGGGTGAGCTGGCAGGTGGAGAGATTTGAGGGAAAGAAGTCCTTTGGACAAAGCCTGAGAGGTGACCAAAGGAACCTAGGGGCTGGTTCATTCACCATAAACCCGCGTCTGTCCAAAGGCAAGGTAAATACAGACCCAGGGGAAACAGCCACACCCTCCTTACAAGATGAAACAACTGTCCATTTGGACAGAACTTGGCACCCAGTAGGTAGGTGCAAGGGACAGAAATGAGCCCCAGGCCCTCCCTGCCTGAGTCCCCCACTTGGAGGGCCTGTTTCCCCTTGTGCTGCTGTGGCCCAGGTCTCCTGGCCCCAGCACTATGCCCCCACTCCAGGGAGCCCAGTGTGGGCCCTTACCCAGTAGCCACGGGGCACAGGAGTCCATGATGCCGTCCTTGGCAGACTTGAGGATGGACTCGGGCAGGGGGATGGAGTGCCGCACCATGGCCCCATAGAGCCCATACTCGGCCATGACGCTGCTCCGGCCCCAGCACTTCTCTCGCTTTCTCCACTTGGCCCTGCGGTTCTGGAACCAGACCTGCCGGTGCAGAAGAGTGGATGGGGCGCACTCCGAGTGCAGGGCCCGAGGCCTTTCCCCGGCCTGCCTGATGTGGAGCTTTTCTCAGCAGAGTCCGTACCCAGCTCGCCCACACACAGTGTCCCCACAGTTCCTCCAGGTTCGGAAGGAGAACATCAAGTCCCAAGAGAACGTGACAGGTGAAATGGGCATCAGGACCACTCTGAGTGCAGCTGAGGAGCTGGGCCCCGGCAGCTCCCTGGTAGGTGTTCCCAGAACCACTGTCTGCTTTCCAGCCAGATTCCCTCAGGCCCTGACAAGCAGGGCCTCTTGCTTAGGGCTCCTTCTCGGCCTGAGACCCAGAGGCCAGAGTAGTCCGGAAGGCCACAGGGGGGCCCAGGGGGCACTGGGCAATGAACAATCTTGGGGGCCACTCCCTCCAGGCGTGTCAGGAAGTCCCCGAGCAGGGAGGCCCGATGCTGGAGGCCCAGTCACCTCCTTCCCTGCCCCGTTACATGTGCCCTGCCATGCCGCTCTTGCCCTGTAAGTACTTGCCGCCCACGCTTCTGGGTCTCACTGAATGGAATCTGGCGGGGAACCAGGTGCCATCCTTCAGTCAGGAAATGAAGACATTCTCCAGGGTGTGAGGGGAGTAGGGGTCCAGGAGAGAGCTGTAGGCCACATCCTAGGGAACATCTCTCGGGCTCCTACATGACTACTGCAAGGCCCGGGATGGGACAGAGGTACCCAGAGGGGTGCCTGCAGCTTCTTGGTGAGATCCTAGAATCCTCGCCTTGCTCTGGGAGCCCAGGATGGCTTGGTCTCCCAAAAAGCGTTTCGGAGCCTTCAGCAGCTGACAGAGCCAGGAGTGTTCCCGGCAGGCCCCTCAAGGTGGGAACAGGCCCTCGGAAACCGTGGTCCACCCCCTCCAGCGCTTCCCACTTACGGTCCCTTGGGGATGGGACCCCTGGGGATGACAAGACACCGGAGCGCCCTAGGGGAGCGGTGGTGGGCGCAGAGGCGCAGGCTGCGGAAAATC